GGTGAAATTAGTTTCTTCATTATGGTTGGAGTTGGGGTAGTATTCTGTTACAATTAGATGCACGGTTGGAAATGGGATAGTATTCTGTTACAATTAAATGTAATAGTATTATGTAAAATGAGGTTGCTTAACGTGGGATGGATAGTTCACAGGCTCTTCACAGGTCCTGTAAATGCAAGCATTTTCAGCAGAGAAAGATGGAGAATAAAATAAGCTGCTAGTTTTGGCACAATGACAGATTACATATGTGTAGTGGATAGCCCATCACCAACAATTCTTAGAAAGGCTATTTTGTGTTATCATGTTGCAATAGCCGAATGCACTTTTTGCTTAAGTTGGGTCTAATCAATAGAGTAAAGAGTCTACAATAGACTTTTCTCTCTCTATCAAACAAATATTTTGGCATTGTTCTATAAACATACTTCACAATTTTCTTCAAGTCAGAGCTCTGTGCAAGTTTGTCCAAATCTGCCCAATTCTGAAGAGCAAATTTACTGGAAGGAATATCAGCAGCCATAAGAATCCTCTCAAGCTCACAAAAACCAGAACAATATTGCTTATGTAGAAAATATGAAGCCAAAACTTACAAAGTCAAATGCATGTAGCATAATGATATTTGCACTTAGTATATGTAAAATTATCTCCTTTCTCCCTTGTTTTCTTCTTCAGAAGAAAATGAAGCATGAGCTGTCTTGAGCAGACTGCAGAAAACCTAACATGGATATTCATATTCATTCTTGAGCGAAACTCATTAAGAGGGTGAAGTTACATATTACATTTAGATCATACTAAATCTGTAGAATGTTAAATGGTGTTAAATATAAAATGTGTTGTGGGCAGTCACACGTAAAGGGCTAATACCATTTCTGCACAGCTCTGACTTACCGCTGAAAGGCTGGTGAGCAGTGGCATGGCTAGGAACTAGCACTCCTGGACTCATTGGCGATGCTTAGGGGGTGCATGTGGGTGCATGTGCACCCCTGAGCTTGGCGGTGCACCCTGTGCAAAAAGCACCACCAACACTGCCAGCAGTGCTTGCAGGTGATCACCCCCTATGCCACTGACACTGCTAGTGGCATCTGCGGGTGGTCCCTGATCACCGCTGGCCACCACTGACACTGCTGGTGGTATCTGTGAGCGGTCACTGACTGCCAGTCAGCACTTGCCACCCTCCTGCCACTGCTTACACCACTGCAGCAGCTTGCAGGAGATCCCTGCTTGCCACCACCATGCCCTCACTGCTGACACCGTTGCTGCCACCTGCAGGTGGTCTCCATGCCCCCCCAGCCTCCAGGGGCACGCAGCATTCATGCCTAGAGTGTATCCCTGCTCTGAATGTGAGGACAGAGCTGAGGGGGAGGGAGCTGGGCACAGTTTATCCTAGGTTGCTGGAGGACTACAAATTGCTTGTTTTATCTCTGTAGAGCAGACTGAAATTACCATAACACAAGCTAGGTAGCATGACCCAGAGTTAACCTTCACCTGAAGTGGAGTAACTCCTGAGATGCTCAGAGCACATTTAGCATGAATTAAACTTTAACCTGCAGGTGCTCACATTTCACTTAAACCATCTTAGTATGGTTTAAGTGCAACATGTAACTTCCCCCTCAAATTTTCCAGGTAAGGTCATTTAAATGACTGTCAAGCACAGTTTTGTTTTGTTTTCCCCCTGAATAGATGTTCTTATTAGGCATGCACCTAAATATTTTTTTAAAATCCCAACAGTATCTATAAGGCAATCCTAAAGTCAATCACTAATCTTTGAGGTATGCACAGACCATGTGCATAACCTGAAAATATTTCTTTTTTTTTGTTTGTTAGTTTGCCATAGACAAAGTCAAGGTGAAATATATTTAAAAGGCCAATAATTACCAACAGCTTTGAAATGAAGAGGGAATGGCACGATATAAAATTCATAAACTTTAAAGACAAATAGGATAAAAAGGATTGAAAAAGTTCATGTTTAATTGATTTGTTCATTTTCTATGTGTAAAATTTATTCAGAGGGCATAATGCATTTTTTACTATCTCAGATGGACAGTATTATCTCAAGAATTAATAAAATTACACAAAGCTTCAAAAAAGTGCAATAGACCAATATTTTGGTTGCCTAGTGACCTGATTGCTTTTCAAACTAAGAAAAAAGAAAACAAACCCTGTATTGTGTATTATATAGTGGTGAAATGTATACATAAAATATTACCTTAGCTGACTGGTATGTGCAGTTCAGCCAAATTCTTCATTAATTACACTTGTAGTGAACAGGAACCCAACATCATTACTATAACAACTAGAGATATTGTGGATTTTTTTCCACTAGGTCTTAAAAGTGATGAATACTGTCTACTGCATTTTTTCAAATGTTTAGATTGACTATGACTCTGATGGAAGAATAGCAAGTTCAGCAGCTACAAGCACAGCCATAGTGAAACACAACACACATGCAATAGAGAGACATAATTTATTTTTTTTCCATGAAAACAGTGAGAAATACAATTTAAGATCAGTTCTTTGTCTACCCAGAGGCCTTTATGGTTTTTTTTTAAAACTTACAATGAATTACGATATCTGTTTAGGAATCTTCTATAGCTTCCTTCATGAAATATGTATTATATACATTTTCTCATATTTACTGTTGCATTCTTTGTCAGCATTGTAATATTCTTCTGATTCCCTAGTCTAAAAATCTCAGAAATTTAGCATGTTAAAACTTCATATTCAGACCAAAGCCAGACTAAAAACACTTCCATTCCCTTAATACTCATTTTTATTTGCATACATATGTTTGCATTAAAGCAGATTCATAAAGTCAATTTACTGCTATGTCACATGCTATTAATCACTGTTTTACCAGATCTAAGCAAATCTTGAGTAATGGAAACAGACCCTCTTAGCAAGTTTACTGAGACTTGTGCTTTGTATTTACTTGAGTGAACCTGGTTCAATTACTACTACCCAAGATGAAAATGATGTTAAAATACGTGGGTTAGTGTTGGGGTGCTGTTGTACCTGTGGTGGTCCAGAAAAATGCAGGTCTGATTGAGGAAGGTTATGTGGTACCCAAAAGCTTCTTTATGCCCCTCCCAACCTACCTTAAACCCACAAAAATCATTGTTTCTACTTAACACAGATGCATTTCAGCCCCCCAGTGAGTCAAACCTCACCGATTTGGGCTGATTCTTGCTTTGAGGTTTAAGTCCCAGAAATGGAGAAACACTTAAGTCAATTCAGATTGGCTTTTGTCTGTTTCCATTAAAGTTCCTTTAAATGAAATTCCCCGTTGACTTACAGAGTTTGCCAGTCTTCTGAGGACAAAGCAAACGCTAATTTTGTGGCACAATGTGTGATGCTTGTGTTGTGACCCAAATGATCTTACAAATGCTTTTTTCCCCCTTGAAAATTGACTTGGATATTGCTAATTTTAGCAGGCTTTAGATTTCAGCCAAACCAGCAATCCCTATAAATATGTGGTAAATATAAGGGTACTCCGAGCCATTACAAGGAAAACTTTTCATTTCAGTCAATAATGCTGTTTTCTCTGTCATTTTGTTTTAGTGTATAGTAATTATCTATGCATGAAATAATCCATTTCACATATTTCTAACTTCAGACAAATTTAGTAGTAGCAAGGGTATCATTCAGCTGATCAGAAGATGATATATAATTGCTTGTAGGGACAGTGAAATAAGCATTTAAATAAATCGTTACAAAAATAATGATCACATATACAGATATCAGCCCTATGCTTATCAAGATGAGAGCTTGTGTTGCAACCACAATTAACTTTTGTCAATTGTTTTAAATTTTTTTGTGTCATTGATTTGAAATTTGATTTTATACGTTGACACAGACTGCTTCCAATATTAACAATTTACAATTTCTACCAACTCTGTTTTTATTTTGGTTATAACAAGACTTCTTAGAACTGGAATTAATAAAAAAGTGAAACACTTCATTCTGACTGGCAGTTTTTGATCAATGTATGTGGCACAAAGGCCACTTGTGCACAAGTTGCAATTCTGTTTCCATAACAGTGTGGTCCCATAAGTGTGTGTATGGAGACTGAGCTCACACAGTATGCTGTATACTAGTTCGGCACATACACATTTAGGTACACGGACCTATTCTGGACATGTATCGCTGTCCCAGGCCTGAAAATGCACGTGATCCAAAACCCATGACTTAGGGGGTGTATGACAAAGGAGGAGGGATTAGTTAAGGCATTTGCCACAAAAGAAAGTGACACATGTTCCAGCCCTCCCCTAACTTTGGTGAGGTTTGGGACATGCATCTCTTACATACCACCACAGTGCTCTAACTGCCACCCAACAGGCTGGGAATCACCTGACCCCTGCCTCAGCACTTCTTTTGAAGCTGACTCTGTGGGCAACTGAGAGAGGGAGGTATATGGGACTAGGAGGGGAAGAAAAGTCGAGAGGGTATGTGGTTAACTGGAATGAATACCAAGCCTGGAAAGTAGCAATCTTTAGGTTCTAACCTGGCCCCTTGCCCCTCATGGGTTAGAAGCTTCCCTGCTGCAGTACTCTTGCTATATCTTATCCAATGACTTTTAAATGCATTCCCTCAGCTACAGTAGGTATGCTGAAGAGAAGTCTGTGTGATACCTAACTATTTTTTTTGGTTCAAACACTGTGCTGGGAAGTCAGAGAGATACAGGTTCAAACCCCTGGTTGATGAAGTGAGCCTGAGATTTCAGCTTCCTGGGTGAGTGTTGTGACAATACTTTTCTTGGTGCTAAAATATAGAAGGATGCTTCCCTGCATTATCTTTTCAGGAATTTATGTGCATATAGTGTCCACTTGGGACCATAAGCTATGTGTGTAGGCTTAGGCATCCAAAGCATGAAGTGGAGGCTAAAGCGAGCTGGGTAGATAACAAGAAAACTGATACTGAAGTGCTCCGAGAAAAACAGAATTACACTCAGAGGGTTTTATTTGGAACACAGAGAAAATGACACAAAAAATAATTTTCTAGGAACATTTAAATAAGCAAAACTGTTCTTCCTTTATGTATGAACAGTTTCTCTTCTTTGACATTTCCTTGGTTAAAAAAGTGATTGCTTTCTTATAGAACCTTACAGGTAAGTACTAGATTGGAATTCAGTGATTACTGAAATCGCTACAACTTAAAAAAAGACAATGTAGTTAGAGCACCAGTATGGTTCTAAGAGACCCGGTTTGTAATCTTAACTCTGTCTCCCACCTGCCTTTGACCTTCAGCAAATGGACTTAGCTTGTTGTGCCTCAGTCAGCATGCCTACAATTAGTTCACCTGAATTTTCTGCATAGGAAATTCAGGTGCATTAGACTGGGCCCCCACATGCATCTGTACATATGCCCATTGGGAATAATTTGGTCCTAACAGGAGAAGTTCAGTTTAGGACATGTCCTGCCCTGCTCTGCCCCCTGCAGCAGCCAGGGGAAGCAGCCCCAGGCTGGCAGGGTGCAAGGGAGCTGGTCCAGATCTCCACCCAGGAGGGGCGGGGAGTGGGGGGAGAGGGGGGGAGGGAGAACTGTCCCATTGGTCCCAACTTCCACTGGAGGCAGCATCCCACTGAGCTCTCCCCATCCCCTGTGGTCCTCTGCTGCCTAGGTTGACTGGGACAATATGCTCCTGGTCAGCATCTACACATGCATTTCAGTGCATTAGATGAATGCAACTATTTCTAGTACCTGTATCTGCATTAGGTTAATGTACTGTGCAGTAATTTCTGCACAAATGGAAACACTGATGCTTTACTGCGCATTAGATTAGACTAATCTAATACACAGTAAAGCTTATCATTCAGATGCACCCATTTTCTCATTCATATACTGATATTTGTTGACTCCCTTCATACAATTTCTTGACATCAACTGATGAAAAAATGTTATATAAATGAGATTTAGATACACAAGACACCACTCACAAAAATCATTGGGATGATTCCTTTGAGTTTGTTTGAATTTTGTATCAAGCCTCCATAGAGGTACACATAAGTGTATATTAGAAGTTGCCAACATGTTTAAATAATCTCTGTTTTCTCAATTTTATTACTATTGTATATACAATGTAGTATGTTTAGCAAAATGTTAAATATATAGCCTTTTCATAGCCTGAAAACTTCCAAGTTCAGTTCGACAAATTTCTACTCAGTAAAGTTTAATTGTGTAGATATTTGTTAAAAAGCATCTTGTCTTCATTGCATAATTAACTTGACTTTCATCCACACAACATCCCTGCGTGAAAGTGAATTTAATTTAAATTCTGAGAAAAGTTTCTTTAGTTTTTATAGAATTTTCCCATCTCTCATCTAAATACATAAAACCAAAGAAAAAAGTGAAAGTATTCAGTTTCACACTTTATGTCTTGTATTTGAAAAGAATAAAAATAAGGGTTTACTACCTGTCTGCTGCTTGTTAAGTAATAGCCAGGCGTGGTGGTATACATTAAGGACAGAATATGAAGTCCAGGCTTTGAGTATCATGACTTACATTCTTTAATTACAGTCTTTAATTCTTTAATTTAATTTGTTATTTACCTTGGGTTAGATCGTGTGGTAGGTGGATGACTGGTATACTGTGTTTCTCCCAGCATGTCATCTTGTACTCCATAAACTCAACTTTTATTCTTAAAAAGTTAGTCTCTAGATGTTATGGTTATCAAAAAACCTCATAAAAGTAAACTAAGTGTGATCCATTCAAGTGAGGACTGCCAACACCTGAAACCAGCTCAGTATCTCTGAGATGTGTGAACTACCTAAGGGCCTTGTCAGACCTTACACTGTAAAATGGGAGTAGAACTGGTGGGAGTGGTGGTGGGAGTCTGGGCTGCAGTTTTCACTCTTCCGGATGTCCCTGGGGACAAGCTTCTTTGCTCAGCACCTCTGTGCCCTGGCATCCCCACTCACCCACTGCCTCCTGAAATGCTGGAGGACCTCAACTTGGGTGGAAAAGCTGTGGAGAGTAGCTGCAAGTTAATGGAACAGAAGTAAAATTAGGAGGATTAGAGATAATCCTGCCGTGGAGTAGTGTAATGTTAAGCCTAAAAACAACTGTTTTAAGCCACTTAAAAGGTGTTAACATGCAGCCAGTCAGGGGTAAAGAGCCCCAGAAGCTCCCTAAAATGACCATGTAACAAGGTCCTATTACAATCCATTAAAATATTAACTAACAAGCCAAATGATAATGCTTTAAATATCAAAGGTAGTGCCTATTTCACTGGTAATTAAGCATGCAAGAAAGATTATGCAACCAGAGTTCTGCATGGTCAACTGTGTAATAATCCTATTTTGGCACCAAAGTATTTGATGTATGGGAGTCTTCCGTCAAGAGAAAAAGCCAGGTGCCATTGGTTAAAAATGAATTTGTAATCACTTAATAAATAGGTAAATAATTTTATCTGGGAATGGTATTTTGATATACACAAGTATTTCCATTCCCACCTTTTCTTAATTTAATTTTTTTAGCTCCAAGGTTCACATCTGCAAACAAAGGGCAATTTTCTTGCATCACAGTAATGTTGGGAAGATAAATTCAATAATATTTATGAAATGTTCACATTCTTGTTATGAAGCTAAGTGGTATATTGATGACAGACATTTTCTACTGGGTGTTCACTGATGAACCTGCTTTCTTGGTTCAAGAGTTAGACAGAAAAATACTGTAGATACCACAATGGAATGATTTTGGAACTGCATGAAAGAAGAAGAAAAGACAGACACAGCATAATTTTCTGTTCAGTAGGGCATACTATGCTACTAATGGTTAAGCCTTCTTGTTCCACTCATCATTTCCTAGCAGCAGCAACAGCAGCAGTTCTGTGACTCATGATTTAACAGACTTTGGAGACTTCTGCCAAAAATAGCTTCTATGCCTATACAGTCAAAGGCTGAACAATCAAATTCTGCCAAGGAGTAGCACTACCTTAGTGAGTAAGAAAGAGTACAAGTTTTTAAACCATCTACCCACTTAGATATTCAGACAAAAGGGGAATTCTTGGCCTGTTCCTGTCAACTTAACTTTTGAATTGCTAAGTTGTCCATCATGAAGTTTAACATGAAATTCATGTTCAAAAACGATGTTGGGAATAGCAAGGACTAAAAGAGCAAAGAGCAAAACTAACAGAGCACCTGACATTTTTATGCTGAATCTATAGCACTATGAATTCATTATACATATTAATAGCTTTATATGCATTACTTAATGCATATAAAGCTAATGGAAATATCTGTAAAAAGAGGGTGGTTTCTCATACCATTTAGTTAGCTTTTGTCCTGGGTGAGGACATCCAGACGTGCATGGACATTTTGTTCCCCAGGAACAAGTAGCGGTGGCACACCTTGCAACACTGCTTCTTGTCCTCAGGGAACACCCATGCTTTGCTCGCTTTGGTGCGCGGCATGTTGCCCTGGGTGGCATAGGGGAGGCTGGGAACAGCATGTGCTGGCCCTACCAGCTTTACCTGGGGCCCTAGGGACCTTCTGGAGCTGCAGCCATGGCAATCCTGCCAGGCAGAGCCTGGCTAGCAGCCACAACACAGCTCTGAGTGGCCCAGCTCTGCTTTTTAGACATGCAAGCTGCCCAAGTGTACACTATTCCATTTTTTTTCACCCCACATTTTTGTTTACCCCTATGTCCAGGGGTTAAAAAAACCTGTGAGAAAAAAACCCACAAATGGAGCTGCACACACTCAGGCAGCATGCCCTTGTAGCATCGAGAACTCCAGACTGTGCGGTACATGGCACTGCAAATGTGTTTGCAGCACCACATACCACATAACCACACTTGTCTGGACTCACCTGGTGTGTCCTAACTTGGTCCATACTGCTTTTTTATTCTATTCCTGTTAGATCTGTTTGAGCCTTGGTCAATCAATCTGTATTAAAAATGTCAACCTTCTTTTTCTTATCTGCAATATTTTCTGTGTACAAATATAATTGCTTCTAGTTTCTCTTCCCTTATTGACCCAGGTGGGCAAACTAGTTTCTCCCAATGTAAGGACAGGAAAGGGAAAAAGTCCTGTGCTTAAAACAACCTTGGCTCTATGCCCCTTTGACCTCAGGACCTAATGAATCATAACTGACTGACGTGAGTAATCTTAAGAAATAAATTATCAGTCTTACTTTCTAGGGCTTCAATCCCCTCCCCCCACAAACTACAGAATTTCTTATGGTATTCACTGAAATTTTCTTCCATGTAAAGCTAGAAAGATGTTCCTGGGCTTTAGAAAAAATGCATGGCATTATGATAACACTTGCATCACTAATAGCAATGGGTAGAAATTTACATTACTATTTTAGGAGGGTTCCCCCCCTCACTGGGAAGGTGGATGAATTGTCTCATGACTGTTTAATTTAGTGCATTTACAATGTACTCTTTCTACATAGGGCTCATTAATTTCCCCTGCGATTTAACAGCTACTCCATCTCTACGGTAACTAGTGAATAGTCTGAGATTATTTATGTTTCTGGAATGAAATTCAGCAGAATACAAAGTTTTCTTTCTTGGTATTCTTCATTGTTTGCATAACACATACTTCCCTGGGTAGATGAGCATGTTTTATAATTCAGTGTCCCTGGAAAACAACAAGGATGTTATTTATGGAGAAAAGGATTCACAAAACTTAAACTCATGTTTTGAGTTTATAAAATATTCTTTAAAGTCTGTGACATTTTGCTGAGCTTCAAATATCACAGGATTCTTTTCAAACTGTTCTCAAAACTCTTATGTTCTGCTGATCCAGACTAACACCCTACTGTACTAAGGGATTTGTTTGTTTGCTTTCTTTTGCTGGTGAACATAGTATAGTCTGCTATCCAATTAGATTGCCGTAGTTGTCCTTTCTGAAGAAAATGCATGAATCTAATAGGTTTTAATCTATAGTGTTCATTAAGGACACATTC